AATGCATCGAATAATACAAACGCGATTCCAAGATTGAAAATATTACTTTCACCGATTTTAGACGGTGCGTTTTTTCATACCCGTTGCGTTGCACACATAATTAATTTATCCGTGCAAGCCGGTTTGGAGGTTATTGAGCCGATTAGAATAGAATTTAAAACAATGATAAAATCGGTTCTTTGTAACAACAACAAAAGACTAAATGATTATAAACGATTTTGTAAGTCCGTTAATAAAAAAGCTTTGGGTCCTAATTTGGATTGTCCAACTCGTTGGAACTCAACTTGGATGATGATGCATACTGCCTTAAGGCAAAGAGAAACATTGCAAACATTTCACGATCGGCTTTTCGAGAGGGGTCATGTCTCAAACATTTATCCGGATTCGAGTTGGGAAACTATAGCCAAAATAACCGATTTGCTTGAGGTTTTTAAAAATGCAACAACTTTTTTATCCGGTGTTTATTACCCTACTAGCCCGTTGGTTTTTAATCAAATATTTTTGTTGGCTACCCGACTAAATGACTTTGAATTTGAAACCGAAGTTTTTCAAAAAATTGGCTTTGCAATGAAGGAAAAACTTTTAAAATATTTTAAGGATATTCCCCACATTTTTACTTGTGCCGCCGCTTTAAACCCAACGTTAAATGTTGGTGGGGTTGAAACACTAATTGAACAAATTGCATTTGCTTTTAATCTAACCGATGATGAACCCAACTTTGTCCAAAACCAAATAAATTATTTTAACAAATGTTTTCGAGACATGTTTGCAATTTATTTAACTAAATACGGATCAAGTAGTGTAATACACGATCAAATGAGAATGAATGCGGAATCATCTAGTAGACGTCCAAGTAACATAAATTTGAATCTTTTTAACACTCTTGTAAATTCCCAATCCAAACGATCACGTACTACCACCCCAAGTAGCGAGTTGGGAAATTACATGTCATGCGAATTTCTATCAAAAATGACATTTGAAGAGTTTGAAAGTTTGGATATTTTGGCTTGGTGGAAAGAAAAGGAAGCACAATTTCCGATTCTAGCCGCCATGGCCCGTGATTTACTAACCGTCCAAGCTTCTACGGTAGCTTCGGAATCCGCTTTTTCTGTTAGTGGCAGGGTTATATCGCAACGGAGATCAAGACTAAGTCCCGAGTCGGTGAAAGTATGCATTTGTTTAAAGGATTATTTGGATGGAGCGGCTCGTAAGCAACATATCACCACCCTAGAAGATGCAATTGATGCCGATTTGGAAGCAAACTTACACATTGAAGAAGTCGAACTTGGAATATCCCCTCCAAACGAAGAAGGCGAAGATGATGAAGAAGAGATGGCAATGTAGTTTATTTTATAACTTTATTTCAATTATCGTAAACTTTGTTTCAATTATCGAACTTGAAGTTTTTAAGCATTTGAATTTATCGAACTTGGAAGTTTTTTAAGTATTTGAATTTATCAAACTTGGAAGTATTTAAGTATTTCAATTATGTTGAGTTAATTAAGTATTTCACTTAAGTATTTGAATTTATCGAACTTGAGGTTTGATGCTTTCTCTTTGATTCTCTCTTGATTCTAGTTGCTTGATGTTTCTTGTCTTTGATCAATGGCTTCTAAGCTTGCTTAAATACACCTTGAATCACTTCTGAACGTTAGTGATAATTAATGAAGATAATATAGTCGTTTAAGTGTGAAAACATTTAATAAAAATGCTTGGAGTGTGGGGGAATCGGTACCCTCTCATAGGGAATCGGTTTCCTCTCATAGGGAATCGGTTCCCTAAGTGTAAAATTCAAATATTTCGACCGTTGAATAGGGGGAATCGGTACCCCCTATGGGGGAATCGGTTCCCTCCGAGCATTCTGGAAATCTCGGAGCCAAACCATTCAGTGAGGAATCGGTACCCCCTTGGGGGGGAATCGGTTCCCTATGAGCAATCTGGAATATTAAAATCGGTTTTTTTATAACCGATTTTTTAAAAAAACCGGTTTTTTTAAAACCGAAACCGGTTACACCGGTTAGGATATCCGGCCCTCCAAACCGGTTAGAAACCGAACCGGTTATTTTATAAACCGGTTTTTTTTCTATGGGAAAAAACCGGATCGGATAAAAACCGATCCGGATCGGATTGAAATCCGGCAAATCTACTCACACCACTGACATTCATGGTGTTAAAAAATGAGACCTCAAGAAACAACATCAATTCTTTTATCATTAAATTCACTTGGTTCGTTATCGTTATCATAATTTACTTTATTTTTTATTATTATAAGCCACGCTTCCAAGGTTGTGGTAATTTCTGGGAAAACAAGTTTATAAACTTTATGAATAACTAATACAAATTCCAACAGTCCGATAAACGAACTTCCAACCACCATGGATGGCCTGGCAAGCCAATTTCCTTTACGCCCTTTAATTTTATGTTCCTTGTTCCCACTACTTTCCGGCTTTTCCCCAACCACGATTATGAGACGGTTGCGCCCCAATCACTACTTAAATGCCATGCTCAAATGTACTCCCTTCATGTTATTTAAATAAATATCGAATACGGATATATATATTAAATATATATATCATACAATAATTCAAAATAAATATTTGAAAAGTTTTGAAAATAACTTTTTATTTTCACGAGAGGTTCAATAGAAATCATGGGTATTGTTGGTGTTTAACATCAAAAAACAATGATTAGAGCGATTCTTGACAGTTTATTATTTTAAATTTAGATAAAATGTTATCGTTAATGTGAATAAAAAAACTGTTATAGAGCTTAAGTCAGATGATTAGATGTTAATAGAAGAAAAGAAAGATATAGAGCTTGAATATGGGTTTGAGAGATAATTTTTTTTATATGTTCTTCATGTCACATGATCACTTTAATAGAAAGATTGAAAGAGATAACGTTTATAATTATTTATTATATATTAAACTTTTTTGAATAATTTTTATATAGGAGAGGGAAAAGGAATTTTATTCCGGATATTAAACTCACAATCATAGAAGAAATGTGAAGTGTTAATTAAGAATTTTAACTCTTTATCTATAAGTTGTTGACAATTAAATTATATTTATAGAATCGTAATTACAACGATAAAAATATATTAAAAAAATTAGTTTATGACTAAAATAATATATGTATAACAAGAATAACATAATTATTTTTAACATGTTTTCTGGAATAATTTTAGCATAAAGAAATACACTTGAAGATGTTAAAAAGGCCTAAATTATGAACTAATAATGAAGATATAAATGTCTGTTCTGGCGGATGGGGGGATGATGATTATTGACGGCCCAATGAAGTCCAAAAAAACTCCAATTTAATGCACAACTAAAAATATCGAAAAAATTACAGAAAGCAACAACCAAATTAAATAAATAAATATCTAATGAAATATGAAACTAAATCACTGCTTAACACTGGAAATATTTTTTTAATTAATTTGGAGCAACAAGATAATATTTATTCGAAGATAACTTTTAACCTTTTGATATTATAACAATAATTCATTTATCATTGATATCATTGAGGTTCATTATTTTTTTCAGAATGGTTAATGGTGTTGATCACTTTTTTGAACTTTGAAATTAGAATTATGAATTTTAATATATATTATAACTTTATTTAAATTAGCTTAATCATAAATATTTTTTTTTATTAATTTAAAAAAGTATAAGGTAATATCTGTTCAAAAATAATTCTCAATCATTTGATATTAAGATTTGAGATTTGAGCTCAAAAAACAAAGGGTTACTTCAGAAATAAGGCAACTCACATTGCATCTACTTCAAAGCCTCTGCATCCACCAAACTCCAACCTATCCAATTAAAATATTAAATTCATCCGGAAAATTTAATAATATATGTGAATATTTTATTGAGTCGAATGAAAAAAACTAAGTTAATTGAGTTTATGAACATTATTTTATCGTTCAATTTTTTTGGGAAAAATATTTAAGTTAAGTTGAGTTTATTTTAGTCAAAATAAATATATATATTTTTATTAAAAAGTAAATATATTTATTTAAATTCCTACTTAAATATAAATATAATTATTTAATATGTTATGATATGAATTGATTTTAATTTAAATGACTTTCTTAAACCATGTATAATAAACATATATTTTTCATATTTTCACATGTATAAGATTTATAATGTTATTTAATAAATTAAATATATTTTAAATTATATAATATATTTACAATATTTTTTAGAGAATAAATTTTGAGGACATAACATTAATAGGAGTATAAAGAGTCAAGAAATTGATGAGAATGCGCTATAGTCAGTGGACCAAATTATACAAGTATGCTATAGTAGTTGAGGAGTATGTTGTTTTACTTAATGAAGAAAAAACTGAAAAAACAAAGATATTAAGGACCAAATTATATAGCTAAAGACCAAAATAAAATCATTTTAGATTTTAAATTGTTAGAACTTTTTAAAATTAAATTTCATTTGAACTCGAAATCTAAACTAAAAATTTAAATAAAATTAGATAATTTAAAATTTTTAAAATTATTTATTTCTATCGAGTCTGTAGTAGACTAATTACCCTCGTTTTTCTTCTTCTGAATTTCAGCCCCCATTACAGGGAAGTAATTAGGACGTGCTTTCCAAACCTTTTTTCCAGTTAAATTAGTGGGGTACCATATTGGAAAAATAATCAAAACCACCACATGGCCGACATCTTGGCCATTTCGAAACCAATAATATTAATAAATCAGACCCATGTCCACAGCTATAAGGATGTCATGTCTTCTTTGCCAACTGCTGAAAAAAAGGTTGCAGATTGTTGGTATGTTGCTTTCAGAGTAGCCTTAGCTTATATATATGAAAATTATTTGATTAATGCTATGTATTCGATTAAAAATTTTAGGTTAGGAATTTTTAATTTTTAAATTCAATTAAATAGGATTGAATAAATTTATTTATCCAAACTGTGTATTAATTAATAACCTATATATATATATATATATAATACTTGCAAAGTGCAAACCTCAACGTTTGATCTTTCGCCGCTTTATTGTTCATCTTTGCAGCGCCATATCCAGAGCGAAAAAAAACCAGGTGAATCTTCTTTGTTTCGTACCCTAAATTATGACTTCAGCCGCTGCTGTTCCTCAAGAATCCTCCCACCGTGATGAATTGTTAATGCAGCAGAGCTTGCTTTTTTCCGAGACTCTCAAGGTGAATTACTCTGACCTTTTCGTTGCCGTTAGTTGATTTTGATATCCATAAATTTGAGTTCAACGCATGAATGTTTTGTTTAGGATTTGAAGAGTCTGAGAAAACAGTTGTATTCCGCAGCGGAATATTTTGAAATTACCTATAACAAGGAAGCCCAGAAACAAATGTAAGTCATAAAATTAGTTTCGATGATGTTAAACAAAGGGATTGAAATCTTTAAACCTCTCTTGTTTCGGTTTGGCGATGGACAGAGTGGAGGATACTTTGAAAGATTATGCCATTAAAGCTTTGGTCAATACGGTGGACCACTTGGGTTCCGTAGCATACAAGGTTAACGACTTTTTGGATGATAAGATGGGCGAAATTTTCGGCACGGACCTTCGTTTGTCTTGCCTGGAACAGGTACATAAACCTGACAATCTCGTGTTATTATTTCAAAATAAAGTCTACTTCGATGATCTGACGTTGTTGTTTCCGGTGGATGGGATATTAGCGATTGCAAACATACCGAGAGTTTGTCAACTTAGGTGGTCTCTCTCAGCAGTCATTAGTGTTAGAGGCGGTCAAGCACAATAAGCGGTACATCTTTCCAGGCAAGTTGATTCTTCTGGATTTGCTTGCAAGAAGAGTAGATGTGGAGAGCAGTTGAGAAAGTTCGTGTTCGAAGTCCTCTCATCGATCGTATTTTGTCTTACAGTTGAACAGACACCGAATGATGTTGCTGAAACGAGACTCAAATCCAACCCTACTAGAATATGTGCTGGACTGGACTCGCAACAGTTCAAGAATATTGGTAAGTTCATCTTCATGTTCATAGTCAATCTTGCTTAGGAAACAAGTAATTGATGATGTTTCGGTTCCATACTTTCGACCCCAGGTATTCAAGCAATAGCAACAGAGACTGGTTCCGAATCGATCAGGTAATCCTTAATTCCGATCGCTTTGAGTTCATTTGCAATGATAAATTTGTATACTGTTATGATTTTTCAAATTCTGGTGCAGGGATGGATTCTATGAGTTACGCTCTCCACAACATTTACCAAGAAAAAGCCCCAAGTTGTTTACTAGCATTTCAATGAACCAAAGACAAGGTAGATCTTTTTTTTAACATTGGATTCAGCATTGTCTTACATTGTTGCTGTTGGAAGCAATCTAGTGATTCCGATTTTGTTGATTTGAAACCAGAGAATCGATCAACCTCTCCTCGCCGCTTTCCGCTCCCACGTTCCGGTTCTCTTATGCAGAGATCGTCCTCCCCAAGCCATTCCAATTCTAGAAAACGGGTACGATTCAAAAAACTTATCTTGCTGGCTCTTCTTGTGCTTTTCATAATGTTTGGTGCAATTGGGTTTTAATGTTAGGATGAACCTTGTTTGATTTGGACAGTGGCCATCGGAGCCTCGGAGAACTGTTTCCTTGTCCACCAGCGTAGCTGAAAGAGAGAAGGTTAAAGACATGGAACAATATTCTAGCAAAAGCAAACGCCTGTTCAAGGCTATGCTCAGCTTGCGCAAGTCTAAAAAGGATGTCACGGTGTACAAATACTCGGATGAGAACTGAGAGGAAAAAGGTTAAATTTCATTCAAGACACTAATTCTATGTCGTACATTGCGCAGTGAAAAAATAAATATTGTGAATTCGAAATTTAATTTAATTGATTTGTATAATTTATTCGGTTTGATTAATTGGTTTGATTTAACATGTAAATTAAGTTTACACGGGAGAGAAGAAGAGGTGGAGTGAGATAAACTTTCCTGTGAAGAAGTAGAGGAAAACTTCACACCGGTTTACTTCTCAGGCAGGTTTTAAGGAAACAACGTCGCATGATAAACCAACGTACCTGTGATCCCAATTACATTTCGTATAGTGTTGAGTGGGTGAGAGACCACGGGTGTGAGCTGTGAAAATATTTATTTAATATAGAAATAAAAATTTATTTGAATTCGATTTTCTATTCAATTAGTTTGATTTTAATTTATTTCGGAGATTCATTTTACACATATAAAATCGCATTGGTTTTAATTTTAGATTTCAAAACCGTTTTAAACAACAAAATTAACTTTAAAATGCTTATATATTTTAACATGTTTAAACTCAAACCCAATAATATTGACCCATGCCCAATGTGAACCCAATTTATTACTCAAATTCGGACTACATAAATAGCACACCCAATTAATATTTCAGAAATCGCACGAATCAAATTATCTCAGTAGTTAAATAAATTATTATTGTTCTTAATGGTCACGGGTTCAAGCACTAGCAACTGCAATGGTGATTGAATGTTCATTGTCAAATGATTAAGAATACTTAGAACATATACTACTTTGTAAATAAAATAATTAAACTTCATTAATGAAAAAATATATTATTAATCACTAATTTTTTTTTTAGTAGACTAAGGGAATTAAAAATTAGATCAGTGACTATATAGTGTCCTTTCCATTTGTACTCTTTATATTTTAAAGTGAACGATGTATGTGGTCGAAGCTATCATCGCTTCATCAATCGGAGAAAGTAATAGGAGCAATGAAGGTGAACTAACATGAGTTAAAAAAGAGATAGAGAGAGTTTGCGAGTTAAATTAATATTTTATTTAAAATTTAAGTTTAATTAAAAAAATCATTTTCAACATGACACGTCATTAAACTAGCGGTAATTAACAGTTCAGTGATCAAAATGTAATAAACTAATAATGTAAGTAACTAAAATCAAATTATTTTTGAATCAGTGACCGAAATTGAACGAATAAAAAAATAAGGAACCACCTTTATATTTATCCATTATTATTTTAACTAAACGATATTAAAATTATAAATACAAACTAGTCATAAAAAATACTTAATTAAAAATGTTACATATCTAATTACAAAATAGTTAGATATCTTGAATTGGATATTATATTACATATATATTACCCCCAAAATCGAGCGAGCAGGAAGCGAACACGCAAATATACCGGAAACAATAAACGGACAGGATCTCCCCAACACAAGATTGATTTTGATTGGCTAAGAAAATCGGTCTTTGAAATCTTAGTGGTCCACGTCATCAGAGATGACATGTTTCCCTCATTTTACTCCCATTTGAAAAAAACTACTTCAGATGCAGATTGCGGACACTTCAAATATAAAACGCCGGAACCACAACTAACCTCTCAACTCAAATAAAGACTTTCGAGAAGAAAAAAATCTCGTTTTATTTTAAACGGTACAGAGATCAGAAGAACAAATCACGATGGTTGGCTCGTGGAGAGCAGGCGGCTCTTTGGTGGTTCTAGCGATTGTCTTATCTGGTAAGTGCTCCAGTTGCTGTATTTTTTCTAGATCTCCTCTTTGTTTCATGTGATTTCATAATCTTTTATTCTTTATCTGTTTGAGAACAAACGTTGTAGATCTAGTTTTGTTTTCCGATAAATTGGTGCGTGTTGGATCTGATTTCAGTTCTATGATTGTATTGATGTATTTGATTGTAAAATGGGGTTCCAGCAACCTCATATCGTGTGGAATTATCTCCACTGGTTTTATAACTAGAAGTTTCTGGATTTTAGGATGAATTACTCGCTAATAATTTTGTTTAGGATTATGATCTTTAATAGAGTTTGAACCAATGTTACCTAAATCACTAACTCCCTGGCGATTTTTTAAATGGTATGCACTTCGGTAACACTAGTAATCTAATTCAGTAAAACTAGCGGTCCGATCAGCGTTGTAGGTAACATGGGTTTAAAATATTGAAGGTAAATCTTGTGTTTCAGCTTATTTATATGTCTAGTAAGGCGTTTATTTTATTTGTAAGTATTTTTTATGCGTGAGAAGACTCTAGAAAATTCGTTAAAGTGTTATTAATTATTTTGTTTTACGGTACACGTGGCAGTTTTAAATCTGATATTGATTTCTTGTTAAATAGATAACGTACTGATGATAATTGGATTTAAAAAATAATCTCTAATTCTAAAATTGCCTCTACTATAAGTTATTAACATTGTCTAAACTTTGCAAACAGGATGTCTCTTTGCAATCTCTATTGCAAAGGAGGAAGCCACAAAATTGGGGACTGTCATTGGAATTGATCTTGGTACGACTTATTCTTGTGTCGGTGTATATAAGAACGGTCATGTTGAAATCATAGCCAATGACCAAGGAAACCGTATTACACCATCGTGGGTGGCTTTCACTGATAGTGAGAGGCTGATCGGTGAGGCTGCTAAGAATCAAGCAGCTGTAAACCCTGAGAGGACCATCTTTGATGTCAAGAGACTTATTGGAAGAAAGTAATTCACTTTCCTTTTATGTTTCTCTTTTTAGGTTTTAGGGTCTGATTGGGAAATGATACTTACTGGGTATGCTTTTGTCCTTTTTGTAGGTTTGAGGATAAGGAGGTCCAACGGGACCTGAAACTTGTTCCATATAAGATTGTGAACAAGGATGGTAAACCGTATATTCAAGTAAAGATTAAGGATGGAGAGACCAAGGTCTTCAGTCCCGAGGAGATCAGTGCCATGGTTCTGACTAAAATGAAGGAAACAGCTGAAGCTTTCCTTGGGAAGAAAATCAAGGATGCAGTGGTCACTGTTCCTGGTGAGCAGCACATTACAATAAACTTTGTTCTTTCGTGGAAAAAGAGTCTGTTATCTGTTCTAGATTATGCTCAAATTATCTTTCTGTTTGATTTGCAGCTTACTTCAATGATGCCCAGAGGCAGGCCACCAAGGATGCTGGCGTTATAGCTGGGCTCAATGTGGCTAGAATTATTAACGAACCAACTGCAGCTGCCATTGCCTATGGCTTGGACAAGAAGGGTGGTGAGAAAAACATTCTTGTCTTTGATCTTGGTGGTGGAACATTTGATGTCAGTATCTTGACAATTGATAATGGTGTATTTGAGGTGCTTTCAACAAATGGAGACACTCATTTGGGAGGTTAGCATCTTCCAAGTTTACTTCTGCGCTTTTATAAATTGTTTTTGTTTTTTTCTTCCTTATCGTCATTTTTCTTGCAGGTGAGGATTTTGACCAGAGGATTATGGAGTACTTTATTAAATTGATCAAGAAAAAGCACGGAAAGGATATCAGCAAGGATAACAGGGCCCTTGGGAAGCTGAGGAGGGAAGCTGAGCGTGCCAAGAGAGCTCTCAGCAGCCAGCACCAGGTCCGTGTGGAGATTGAATCACTTTTCGATGGTACTGATTTCTCAGAGCCACTGACCAGAGCTCGCTTTGAGGAGTTGAACAATGACCTGTTCAGAAAGACGATGGGACCTGTGAAGAAGGCAATGGAAGATGCCGGTTTGGAGAAGAACCAAATTGATGAGATTGTTCTTGTCGGTGGAAGCACAAGAATTCCAAAGGTTCAACAGCTCCTTAAGGACTACTTTGATGGAAAAGAGCCCAACAAGGGTGTTAACCCAGATGAAGCAGTTGCTTATGGTGCTGCAGTACAAGGTGGCATCTTGAGTGGAGAGGGTGGTGATGAAACCAAAGGTACATTTTCATCTCATGTAACATTGTCCATTATAATTGTACGTGCCAATAGCCTGATCAAACTGCACTAATTGAATCAAGTAAGGTTGATAATTGTCTTCAATGCTTTATGTACAGATATTCTTCTGCTTGATGTGGCTCCACTTACCCTTGGTATTGAAACTGTTGGCGGGGTAATGACCAAGTTGATTCCCAGGAACACTGTTATCCCAACCAAGAAGTCACAAGTTTTTACCACTTATCAGGACCAGCAGACCACCGTCTCCATCCAGGTACACTTTACAGTCTTATCATGGGAGCTTGGAAAACGCTTGCTTGAAAATTGGATTTTCTTTTCCTTGTTAAGAACTATAATACTTTGTACCTTATTTTAATTACCGTGTTCGATGTCAGGTCTTTGAAGGTGAAAGGAGTCTCACAAAGGATTGTAGGCTGCTTGGGAAATTTGAGCTCACTGGAATTCCTCCAGCTCCAAGGTATGCTCTCTCATCCATCAATTCTCCTTTGTTTTCTGTCTCTTACCTCAATTAACTGACTTTACTTTCTGATTCCTCACTTGCTCAGGGGAACCCCTCAAATTGAAGTTACATTTGAAGTTGATGCAAATGGTATCTTAAACGTTAAGGCAGAAGATAAGGGCACTGGAAAATCGGAGAAGATCACTATCACGAATGACAAAGGTCGTCTGAGCCAGGAGGAGATTGACAGAATGGTTCGAGAAGCAGAAGAATTTGCCGAGGAGGACAAAAAGGTGAAGGAAAGGATTGATGCTCGTAACAGTCTTGAGACATATGTGTACAACATGAAAAACCAGATTAATGACAAGGATAAGCTTGCTGACAAGCTTGAAGCCGATGAGAAAGAGAAAGTTGAAACTGCCGTAAAGGAGGCCCTCGAATGGCTTGACGACAACCAGAGTGCCGAGAAAGAAGACTACGAAGAAAAGCTCAAGGAGGTTGAAGCTGTATGCAACCCTATCATCACAGCCGTATACCAAAGATCTGGTGGAGCCCCAGGGGGTGGGGCGACTGAAGACGAGGATGATTCACACGATGAGCTCTAAAACAATCTCTAATTATATTGACTTCCGCACCTGCTGAACAAGTAGGAAGGGGTAAGATGAGAGCGGTAGGGTAGGTGAGACGAGGTTACTATAATTTTTCTCATTGTAGAATCGCCCCCTTTCTTCCCTTGTTTTTTTGTGTAAAACTATAAAACGGTTGATTTTCAAGGGATATTTCGTTTTGGCTACTTGGTATATTGCTATGCTATGTTAAACAAAACTTTTGTATCGTACCCATTCTATCCAAGTTAAAAAGGTTTGGTGAAGAGCTGATTGGTGATTAGTGATTACAATAATATTTATGATCTCAAAATTAATATTCTTTCTACGTAGTTGAGTTGAAAATACCTGTTGAGGAGACGTGTTTTTTTTTGTTGAATGGTAGAGAAAATAATCTAAT